GAGTTTGGGCACCCCCTGTTCCTGTTTCCCCAGGAATTCTGGCCGAGTTTGGGCACCCCCTGTTCCTGTTTCCCCAGGAATTCTCACCGGGGTTTGGGCACCCCCTGTTCCTGTTTCCCCAGGAATTCTGACAGAATTTGGGCACTCCCCTGTTCCTGTTTCCCCAGGAATTCTGACAGAGTTTGGGCACTCCCCCTGTTCCTGTTTCCCCAGGAATTCTGACAGAGTTTGGGCACTCCCCCTGTTCCTGTTTCCCCAGGAATTCTGGCCGAGTTTGGGCACTCCCCTGTTCCTGTTTCCCCAGGAATTCTCACCGGGGTTTGGGCACTCCCTGTTCCTGTTTCCCCAGGAATTCTGACAGTTTGGGCACTCCCCTGTTCCTGTTTCCCCAGGAATTCTGACAGTTTGGGCACTCCCCTGTTCCTGTTTCCCCAGGAATTCTGTCAGAGTTTGGGCACTCCCTTGTTCCTGTTTCCCCAGGAATTCTCACCGGGGTTTGGGCACCCCTTGTTCCTGTTTCCCCAGGAATTCTGACAGAATTTGGGCACCCCCTGTTCCTGTTTCCCCAGGAATTCTGGCCGAGTTTGGGCACCCCCTGTTCCTGTTTCCCCAGGAATTCTCACCGAGTTTGGGCACCCCCTGTTCCTGTTTCCCCAGGAATTTTGACAGAATTTGGGCACTCCCCTGTTCCTGTTTCCCCAGGAATTCTCACCGGGGTTTGGGCTCCCCACTCCCCGCGGGCTTCGGCGGCACCGTGACGCCGCCGCTGCTCTCGTCCCTTCCCAGGCACGCTGACGGTGGCGTGGTGGCTGCGCTGGTGCCTGCGCCAGGCCCGGCGCCTGCCGCACGTCTGGAAATGCGCGGCCGCCGTGCTGCTGCTCCAGGCGCTGGCGCTGCTCGAGCTCCTCGACTTCCCCCCGCTGCTCTGGGTGCTGGACGCCCACGCGCTCTGGCACATCGGGACCATCCCCCTCAACGTGCTCTTCTACAGGTCACTGACACACCCCCCCTCCACCTCTTTCCCCGTTTAAAATTGGGGTGAGGGGCTCCCCGTGTTCCCCAGGGAGCCCCGCGGGGTCTGGGGGGTGTTGGAGACTCTGCACCCTTTAGAAATTTGGGTATTCCAGGCCCATCGTGGTCTGTGGGGTTCTCAGCATCCCCCTCTTGAAATTTGGGGGCTCAGGGGCCCTGCAGTTTTCTGCGAGGTGCTGGGAGTCCCAAGCTCGGCACCGAGGTGTCGGCGACCCCACTGTGGGTGCTGTGTGCCCTGCTGTGGAAATCGGGGTGCTGAGCACCCCCTCAGTTCCCAGTGGGATGTTCTTGGTGCCTCTCTTGCCTTTGGGGTGCACAGACATCCCCCTCACCTTGAAATCGGGGTGCTGGGGGAACCCCGGGGTTGCTGTGCTCAGTGTCGGGTTCAAAGCTCCCCTAAACCCCCTCCCTGTTCCCCGGGGCAATCCCTCCCTTCATCCCCCCCTTGTCCCCCCAGTTTCCTGATGGACGACAGCCTCTACCTCCTGAAGGCCAACTCCGACCTCTTCAAAGTGGACTAGAGCTGCTGGGGGGGGGTGGGCAACGCCCCCCGTGCCCCCCCAGGGCCCTGCCCTGCCCTGTGCCAAGCGACCTCCTGCCCCCACCCCGGTTTTGCCTTTTGAGGTTTGTTTTTCTCCCCCCAAGCCCCGTGCATCTTCCCAGGGGGGTGGGAACCCCCCCACTGCTGGGCACAGAGGGGTCAAGGACAGCTGAGCCCCCTCCCCGTGCTGAGCTGGGGACCCCCACGAGGTGACAGTGGCTGCTGGGGGGTGTGTGGGTGATTGGGGGGGTGGTCTGTGTGTATGGGGGGGGCTCTGCCAGAGGTGGGGGGTGTTGTGTGGGTGCCTTGGGGGCTGGGTGTGCCCCCTCCCAGCCCAGAGGGGCTGTGCCCCCCCCATTCTCCCTTCCCCCGGGTGTGCTGTGGGATGTGAATAAAGCTGAGTTTAATCTGTGCCGAGCTGGGTTCTTGTCCCCTCCCCGTGTCCCCTCCCTGCCCCATGGGCACCCTGTGCCCCCCTGCCATCCCCAGCCCCATGTCTGCTCCCCCCACCCCCAGTGTACCCCATTCCCTTTTGCTGTCACCCCTTGCCCACGGTCTTGCACCCCATTTCCCACCCTGTTTTAACTCTGTCCCACCCTGTGCGCCCCAAAATCCCCTCCATGTGTCCCAAACCCCCTCGGTGTTCCCCAACCCCTTCAGCACACCCCATATCCCCCCATCTTTCACCCCTCACCCTGCACCCCCATTTTGCTCTCTGTACCCCCATTTGTGCCCCATATCCCCCTGCTGAGAACCCACCCACCCACCCATCCTGCCCTCACCCTTCACCCATCTCCCAGCTGCTCTCACCCCATTTCCCCCCCACCCAGGGGTCCCTGACCCCCCCCAGATCTCCATGCACCCCTTCCCCAAACCCTCAGCGCCGTCTCCATCCTCTGCCACAACCTCATCCTTTATTGCCACAACCTCACCCTTTATGCCACAACCACCCATCCCATCCTGCCCTTACCCTTCACCCATCTCCCACGCTGCTCTCACCCCATTTCCCCCCCACCCCGGGGTCCCTGACCCCCCCCAGATCTCCATGCACCCCCTCAGCACCGTCTCCATCCTCTGCCACAACCTCATCCTTTATTGGATGTCACCCACCCCCCTCACCCATCGGGCCAGAGGTGTGGCGAGGGATTTCCCGGAGCTTTCCCGTGGATCCCCTTCAAGCTTCCAGCGGTTTTTGCGCGTGGGCGAAGAACACCCCGTCCACATCATCCACGCCGGTGCGGAGCGCGGGGGGCATGGCGTAACTCCGCAGCTCCCGCAGCGCGAAGCCCGCGGCCGCCAGCGCCTCCCGCACGTCCGACTCCTGCAGCGGCACCACGGGCAGGCGAGCGGGGCCCGCCAGGTAGAAGGACTCGCCCAGGGCTCCCAGCAGCACAGCGTGGCCCCCGGGCCGCAGCAGGTTGCCAACGTGGGCGAGTGCCCGCACGAAAGCGGCGCGGTCGGGGCTCACGGCCTCCAGGCAGAAGGCGGAGAGCAGCGCGTCCGCCCGCGGCCGCAGCGGGGTGCCCAGCGGCTCCGGGCGGTGCACGTCGATGGGCAGGATCCGGCGGAGGCGCTGCCGGAGGCGCCGCTCCTTGTCCTGCCACGGCTCCCTGAGGAGCGGGGGGAACAGGGGAAAAGGGGTGGTGGGGAGTGGGATGGGGAGCGGGGGGCGTGGGGAGGGGATTGAGCCGGGAAAGGCAGGGATGTGTGGGGGGGGGGATGGATCCTGTGTTCATGGGGATGGGATCGATCCAGTGGGGACGTGGGGATGGGATCAATCCAGTGGGGATGTGGGGATGGGGTCAGTCCAGTGGGGATGGGGTCAATCCAGTGAGAATGTGGGGATGGGATCAATCCAGTGGGGATGTGGGGATGGGGTCAATCCAGTGGGGATGTGGGGATGGGGTCAATCCAGTGGGGATGTGGGGATGGGGTCAGTCCAGTGGGGATGGGGTCAATCCAGTGAGAATGTGGGGATGGGGTCAATCCAGTGGGGATGTGGGGATGGGGTCAATCCAGTGGGGATGGGGTCAATCCAGTGGGGATGTGGGGATTTGGGGGTGGGATGGATCCCGTGTCGATGGGGATTAGGCTGGGATCAATCCAGTGGGGATGTGGGGATGGGATGGATCCCGTTATCAGTGGGGATGTGGGGGAGGGATGGATCCCGTGACGATGGGGATGGGATGGGATGGGATCGATCCAGTGGGGATGTGGGGATGGAATCGATTCAGTCCAAGGGATGTGGGGGTGGGATTGATCCAGCATCCACAGGGATGTGGGGATGGGATCAATCCAGCATCCATGGAGATGTGGGGATGGGGTCGATCCTGTATCAACGCGGATGTGGGGATGGGATCCATCCAGCATCCACAAGGATGTGGGGTTGGGGTCAATCCAGAACAGACAGGCGTGTGAGGGGATCAATCTAGTATCCATGGGGATGGGACCCATCCAGTATTCATGGGGATAAGGGGATGGGATCCACCTGGTACTCAGGGGAGTGTGGGGATGGGATCAATTTGGCACATGCAGGGATGTGGGGATGGGATGTGGGAATGGGATCAGTCCAGCACACACAGGGATGTGGGGATGGGATCAATCCAGCAGACAAAAGGGAGGTGAGGATGGAATTGAGCAGGGATGTGGGGTGGGATTGTGCAGGGAAGTAGGGATTGGGTGGGCATTGACCTGGGACACACAGGGAA